GTGCCGGGGATGAAGCGGCCAGCCAGGAACGACGTGCCGACAAGCTGCGAGAACTTGAAGATGGCGCGCTGACCAAAAAGACGCGTGGAGCAGACAGTGACGTCCTGCGGGTTTTCCACCGCGGCGATGACGCGGGCGGCGAGGATCAGCTTCTCCCACGTCATGTGGAGGTCAATGATGTTCGTGCCCTCCTTCGTGCGGCTGTGGATGTACTTCTTCATGGCGTTGCTGCGGTTCTTGGTGCCGAGGTGGCAGTGCATGGCAACGAGCTTCTGCACGTCGCCCTCCTTCATGCGGAGGACCTTGGCGCCAGATTCCACAGAGGTCATTCGGATGCAGTTGGGTTGTCCTTGAGTGCGACTTGCGTGAGCAGAACTGCATGGGAAAAAAAAAAAAAAAGAAGAAAAAAAAGGGGCAGTCAAATGAATAAATGCGCAACAGGAACATCCCTCACTCTCTCACTATTTGTGCGTGTGTGTCACATGATGGCAAGGAGCGTCTGTTATACGTGTCTGGGGAGTCAGTAACATGCGTAGAGAAAGCAAAAACCAAAACAATCACAACAATCCAGTCACATGTATGTATGCGTGTGTTTGTCTTTTGTCTGCGTTACTATTTGCGGACCCGCGCGTATCGCTCCATGTTATGCAACCGTCGTAACTGATCCAATTCGCCCATCAGTCGAATGATTTCTTTATCTTTCTTTTCCAACGACATCCGTAGCAAAGCCGACGCATCCGCCTCCCGAGATTCCATCTCATATTGAAGGGCTGTGATTGTCGCATCCTTTTCAAGCATTGTATCGTACAGGACAGCGATCCGACGCTCGTAATCAGCCATAGTCAAAGACGCTTCATCGTCGATGCTCTCTGTGTCCTTCCCTTCTCGCCCACGGTGACAAAGAGCATGCACTTTTTCCTTTTCTTCATTTAATGCCAATCTGTTGTTTGCCATGTCCAACTGCGCGGCCAGTTGGTTGACAACAGCCTTAAGAGTATCGATATTGCCGCGTAAAATACTGTTGTTCAGCTCTGCGCATTTTAACCGCCTTTGCAACTCCTCCACCGTGTTGTCTCCACTATTGACAACGGCAAGAGGTGAGGTGGTGGTATTTACGCACCCACACGTGTCTGAGACTGTTTTTAGGTTTTCTTTGTCCACTGTGGTTGCCAAAGGCGAGTCATTTTTAAAGGGCGCCAACGACGGTGATGCTGACGAATTGACCCAACCCTCATTGTTGCCGTTCGTTGTAGACATACGGATGATCTCTTCCACATGCAAGTTGGCGCCCCCCGTTTTGCACACTTACCACCTCCAGCGGTCTCTGAACCCCCCACTTACCCAGTAAACGTCGTTGTGGGAACGTAGGGCATATGTGCACGTATTGTCAGTAACAACAAAACAACAACAACAACAACAAAAAACGATTACAAATAAATAAAAATAAAATTCAAAAAATCAGATGCAGTCTCTATAAATCGCACGTATGTTTAAAAAAATATAATTATATTGGTGTGTGTGTGTGTGTGTGTGTGTGTGGATTCTGCTTTTTACTAACTTTTGCGCATCCTTTTATGCTTTTTTGTGCGTGCGCACCAACGAAAACAGCATCTTTCGTCGCTTCCCTTCTCCTCAAGTCTTTTTTTTT